CCAATAACCACTTATGTCTAGGTCGACAAATCTACATCACAGACACTACCACATAAGCACAAAACCTTATAGCCTTATTTGCAAAGAGCATGCAAAATATTTAAAAAAAAACATGGAGTGTTAGTCATTTACCCGCGAGAATCTACTTAACCAGCGATTTGTCAATATCTTTGTAAAGTTGGCAAGATGGTGGCATCAGGAATAGTTGAGGAAATATTCAACCATATACCTGCCATAAAAAATAACATCATACTTCGTCTCTGATTATTAAAAATTAATCCTGATAGGCAAGAATTCTGAACTAAAGGAAGGAAAGGTCAAACTAACAACATTTATTTGAGAGATTATTTGAAAGCTAACTTATTTAGGAAGGGTAAAAAGATGCGAACTTGAGCTTGTAACTACAGGAAGGGTACCACAAGGCTTAGTGATTCGAAAGCATGCATATATACAAAGAGTAGGTTAGCATCTTCAATTTGCATACTCCGAGTAAATTCATATAGTTTTGGTTTTTTGGAGAAACATATAATCTAATATTAGTTGTATTACAAAAATAGCGTCTTAGGAAAATAAATGTTGGGAATATTTAAAAACTTCGGGTAAATATAAAGAATAAGAAGGCAAATATAATTTTAAATCACTTGATGTCAAAAGATAGGATCTTAAAAATAATACGAAAATTGCATTAGGCCTATAAATTAAGCACATTTCCAGCCAGAGCTTGGAAGAAATCCGTTGCTAACGTTGCCCCGCATGCAATAAGTGACTACCTTATCAAGGAATGTTTCTAGAATTACAGCATTGCGACTTCCAGGTGAAAGACAGTTAGGAGAAAGGCAACTTAAAATAAGCTCCGAAAATCCACGCTCCGCAGCAAAAGTTGAGGCTAAGCTGATTGAACGAGCCGTTTTATCTAGACAATTGGATGGATAAATTTCAATGTCTTCTGAACAAGGTCGACGGGAAAATACGTCTTCAGCCAAGTCAGAACAATGAGAATTATAAAAATTTCTAGAAAAGTTATCATCTAAGCCGAATATCCGATCGATAGACGGTTGCTGGGGGGTCGATGGCATCAAATCAACTTTAGTGCCAACAACAAGAACAGGAAATGAATCAGCAGATTTCACGAATGAGTGCGAATTTGAAATTATGCCAGTGGCATCTCGGATGCATTCCAACCTGTATTTTTCAAAAGTAAGGAATCCGTTAAAATTCGTGTAAGTAAAAAAGGATTATTAGGAGATAATTCATAAAGTAATTGAAAATCTATATTAACAGACTAGTAAATAAATACATGGGCATGTTAGGCACTAGATGATATATAAGGCAAA